CAGGCTCCTATAAAGCCTCTGGAGCCTGGGGAGGGTGAAAAAAGCATGCAAAAAATGGGGGGAGCGCCTGTCATGGGCGCATGCATGCTGGGGATTGCGCATTGGATTATGGGTGTGGCACACCTGCACACAACCCCCCTGAGGTCCCCACGCTTATGGCACGTGAGCCAAAAAAGGTTCGCCATTGCTGGACTAGACATACCCAATTCCTGCAACCATTCTTCATATCTTTTAGCCTCCAGCCCCCTAATCATCTTTGTTGTTCTTTTTGGAACTTTCCATAATCTCAACAAGTTTTTTATGTTGTGGCGACCAAAACTAGATCTTATCAAAGTATTATAAAATGGTAGTAACACATGACCTTGATTCTATCCCCCTGTTAATGCAGCCTAGAGTTGCATTGCTTTTTTACCTACATAATTTTAATCCACACACACACACACACACACACTTCTTGTGTTTGTGTGTGTGTTTTCCAGCATAACTCTGGAATGCCTTGAGCAATTTCAACCAAACTTGGTACACAGATGACTTACTCTCTGGAAACAAATACTGTTGTGGTAAGGCCCCCCTAACACCCCTCGGGGGTATGTGTTATGTTAAGATACAGCCTGTTGTGTGTCAAATGGCTTCTACTGTATTGCCATAAAATGGCTTCTACTGTACAGCACAGTAGAATTACCATGGCAAAAGTTTCATGGTACTCCACAAGGGGTAAGGGGGAAAATCCAACATTAGAAATTACGTTTGGTCCGGACATTTTCCTCCTATAAATAAATACCCAGGCAACACCGGATTAGCAGCTAGTAGTAAATAATTGACTCTGTTAGAGCTGTACCATCTGCATGTATGGTACCAGAAGATTGTGTGTGTACTTTTAACGAGAATGAATGGAGATGCAGTGTTCCTTGACAAGAAGATATTAAAAGACTCCTTAATACTTTTTGAGGTTTTTTTAAACAATGTTTGTATAAAGGTCATAATATTGCCCTTCTATATATAATGTTTTACATTGCATAATGCAGCATTGTTTTGTTTCTAACTCCCCTGCGAAAAGTAATTACCAATTCAGAATGTCCCAGGCTTCCTTTTATTTGCTGCAAAGAAGCAATGAATATTCATGTGTTTCCTACCAAGTTTGACATTTTAATAATCAATTATAAAAGGTTTTTTTAATATGTAGTTTAATGCAGATGTATTTTTTGTTTTTATCTTTCCTCCCAACAAACAGAATCAGGCCTCAGTTAGCCAAAGAGAAGATAGAAGGATGTCACATTTGCACATTGGTCACACCTGGTGAACCTCAGGTGTTTCTAGGAAAAGATAAGGCCTTCACTTTCGATTATGTATTTGATATTGAATCCCAGCAAGAGGACATCTACTTACAATGCATAGAAAAACTGATTGAAGGCTGCTTTGAAGGATATAATGCTACTGTATTTGCTTATGGCCAGGTAAGAATTGAGTAATTTTCTGATAAAATGTTCTGTGCATTAAAAAGGGGGGAAAGGGTACATTCAGACATATTCAGATTTTTCTAGAGGTTAGAATTACAGATTTTAATTTATAAGAAGTTAACAATATACAGAAAATATGTGTGTGTACATACACACACACACACATATCTACACACACACAACACACATATATACATACACATACATGTACGTGTGTGTATGGATAGATGTAGATAGATAGATAGATAGATAGATAGATAGATAGATAGATAGATNATTTCTCTTTAGTTCAGGTTGTTTCTCTCCTTGATTGCTTTCCATCCATTGTTAGGAAAGTTGAAAAAAATTACCTGTAGTTGTTTCATTTGTTAAGATTCACCCTTAAGAAATTATAAGATCAGTATTGGCTTAGAGGCAATCATTGTTGTGCCAGTTTACATGTGGTGCTTGGGAAGTTTGATCCTAGACAATTTCTTTGGTTTCCAAAATGGAAGCTGACTCTCAGCAAAGCAGACTGATATTCTCTGGCATTAACCGTATTTCCAAGAATGACTCTTTAGAAAGCTTAAATATGTAATTGGGAGTACAGTATCCCATCTGTCAACAAAAAGGATAAAGATAAGCAGGAATAGTAGAAAATATCATGGAGGATGGATTTGAGAGGGAGCAGATTGTACATGTTTATCAGAATACTTTGCTTTGATTATATTCTGATGACAGTTATTTGGTAAATTGACACATACCAAAGAGGGCCCATACCCCTTTCTCAAAAATTAAAACTGTATGCACAGCTTCAATAGTGTTTGTTTGTTTGTTTGTTTGTAAAACCACCAATAGAACCAGTTTGGTGTAGTAGTTAAGGCATTAGTCTAGAACAGGGGTCAACAACCCGCGGTTCTGGAGCCGCATGTGGCTCTTTCATCCCTCTGCTGCGGCTCCCTGTTGCCGGTCGGATCCACAATTTATAGGGCTTTCGTTTAGGATAGGTAGAGGAAAAAGTACACCATACTAGGAGGAGACTCTATGGTGGGGGAACCGGACTTCTGGTCGACAGAAGAAAAAGGATGCCACGCTAGGAGGAGACTCTATGGTGGGGGAACTGGACTTCCAGTTGGCTCCAGAATTGAAAGGGGGGCTTTCAGTTAGGAACCTTTGTGGCTGTTTGAGTGTTTAAGGTTGCCGACCCCTGGTCTAGAAACTGTTCTACTCCTGCCTTAGATACAAAGCCAGCTGGGTGACCTTGGACTAGTCACTTACTTTCAGCCCTACGGGGGAGGCAATAGCAAACAATTCCTGAAAATCTTTGCCAAGAAAACTTCAGGGACTTGTTTAGGCAATATTTGAGAATTGGGTACAATTGAAAGGAAGGGGGGGGGGGAAGCCGCCCACCTTGTTAACAATTCTGGTTGGTGTGCAACATTATAAACACAAGTAACAAATAACAAGCACAAAGAGAAAAGGAAAAATAAAGATCATTCTGGTGGAACAAGCATCCACTAAAAACTTATCAAACGTCTCACAGGGAGCTCACACTCCACTCTGGACTAGAAACTGAGGAAAAAGCCGGGTATTCAAAACCTGTCTGTGAGAATGTTGCTCAAAGGGCTGATTCCTTGAAGGAGAACTAGAGTCTAAAACTTAAGGGACATACCGTATTTTTTGGAGTATAATACGCACCGGAATATAAGACGCACCAAGATATTGAAGAGGCAAATTTTAAAAAAAGTTTTTGCACTCTGCAGACCTCCCAAAAATGTTTTTTGACAAAAAAGGACATGCATAGCGTTTAGGAGGCTTGTAGAGTGCTCCTAGGGAGGGGGAGATGAGCAAAAAGGACCCATTTTTTGCAAAAACAGGCCCGTTTTTTGTCAAAAAAGGGGNAATGTAATATTGGCCGTTCTAGCTGTGAGGCTATCCAGCTGATAATTGTGTTTTTATGAACACTACATCTCTGTATGTGAACGTAAATAGGTTATTCTGCCCTTTTAACATGCTATTTAAAATGCCAACAAATAACAAAATTCTGGAAAGGGGAATTCTCTAGAAATTCTACACCTTGGCTTTTGGCACTCAAATATTTTTTACATTTTGTTGAGAAAATGCATCCATGATTTTGTTTATATATGAAATCTAAACTTACTGGAACAATTGCAGAGAAATTGTGAATGTGTTATTCCTGATTTGTCATCAATTCTGAAATATGTAATTATTATCACTTTGTACGGTAGCCTAGTTACAAAATGACAGAGATTTCAGTCAAGATTTGGTCTCTCCTGTCAAGGTCTTGTAATTAAGCTTTTGTTTATTAATGCTTGCCAAGCAATGTGTTTTTAATTACTTTAACAGTTGTTTCGAAATGATGAATGGCTGCTCTTTTTCACCTCCAGCCAAACAGTCATGATAGCTTGTATAAGCCCTTCCGACAGAGACTTCATGGAAACGTTGAACACCTTAAAGTATGCCAACCGAGCAAGAAATATCAAGAATAAAGTGATGGTTAATCAGGACAGGGCTAGTCAGCAGATCAATGCTCTGCGGAGTGAGATAACTCGATTGCAGTTGGAACTCATGGAATATAAAACGGTAATTTTTATTGGGATCTGTTCCCTTTTTTTTTAAAGCAAGTTTATTATAATTACCTTTGCTGTAATGCAATGTGAATAATTGCACTTTGAAACGCCTGACTTGTCCCCCTCCCTCTGCCTCAAGGGCCAGAGTGAGTTGCCTTAAGACTGGCAGACAGGTTTACCCAGTACATTCTATTGCACCTTTTACCTTTGAATCCAGGGTCATCTTCTTTATAATTCTAATTTGTGCGTGTTCCTATCTGTTAAAAGGCCCAGGTTGCAAGGAAGGAAAGAACGTTTACAATTCACAGCTAGTGGGGAAAAAAGCAGAGATAGTCCATGTTTAGCAGCTTCTTTGTTTAGAGGCTATTTGCTTGACATTTTCCTTGACATTTTTAAATTTTTAAAATGACATATTTTAAAGTTGCCAGGGCTGAAAAACACTAGACTGTAGCCAGGGGTGGGCTTCAAAATTTTTAGCAAGGGGTTCTCTGCCCGGTTGCTGGGTGGGAGTGGCCATGGTGGGAGTGGCCTAGTCGGGCGCCTGCACCAAGGTGGGGGGGGCGGTATTTTTCCTCAAGCCTCCGGGAGGGTGAAAACAGCCTCCCCAGGCTCCGGCCTACCCAGGCTTCCTGAACTTCCGGTAGGCCCGTTTTTTGCCCTCTCCGAGCCTTCACACATGCCCAAGCTGCATCCAAAACGGGCCACATGGGGTCTCCGGGGAGGGGAGGGGAGGGGAG